CACCCCTACATGGCAGGAACTCTAGAAGATATTAGGCTTTCCAAAGATGGCTTTGTGGTATTTATCCAGGCTTTCTTCACCACTGTTTTTCAATTCAAGTCTCTAACTTTTCTCTGCAATACAAGTGTATGTGTTACATTCCCCAGAGAGTCTGCACCTGCCTGGAAAATGAGAGCTCAGAGGCCTCTGCTGAGCCTTAGTCTCACATGTACTGTACTAGTGCAATGGGTTGCATGCTGAGCTACTGCATGTAAAAATAATACTTAGGACATGACTTTTTGATACCCACAGTTGCCAAAGCAGTATGTTTTGACCATTAGTAGTCGATTATGTTGCAAATCTATTCACTTCACTCAGCTGGTTTCATATTATTAATTCCAGTGGTGTGACTGCAGAGCACATATAATCTGTCAAAAACATATTTGGTTAAAGCCGTTCTATTCCTCAGAGGGAGGACAAAGTTTACTTAGTCAGTGAACTGCTCTATTATTCATTTTTTGAAACTGTAAAATGGCCTAGAGATACAAATGCTGTACGCTGTATAAAACAGACATGTTTTCCAAACTTTGATACATATCTATTAAACTAAATGTTACACATTAATGTAGAATAATAATAATTCCATTATGAAAATGATATAAAGAGGATGTTTCAATGACATGGTTTTAACCATTCGGAAGTTAGGAAAGAAAATTCATTTATTTAACTCTGCCACCCTCTGTGTGTGCATCAGGATGCTGTTTTTAGTTACACAATCACATACTATTTTCCAAACATATGTTTTCCCTACAACTTGGGGAGACACGTGCAACGTCTTCTATTTCTGTGTAACATTCTGTGTACACCAGAGCCCATAAATCACTAATATACTAGGTATACAGTGAATAAGCCAAGGACTTCTATGCTGTACATCTTACAAGGCCGTATGAAGACAAAACCTACATGATGGCATACTTCTTTATTAGGAACTTCTTAAGAGGAGGCTTTCTTGAGAACCTCCATAAATACTTGCAAAACAATTAGGTCAACAAGTGTCATATTCTGACCTTATTTTCTCCACACACTGGCTCGCATTTCTGGGCAAGGTGTGGCTGTTGGAGGGATAGGTTTACCCCTCTGTCATGCACAGACCATTGTCTCCTTTGATTTGCAATGTCAGGGAAATGGAACTGGTTTGCTGGTGTGCCTTTGAAGATTGATGGAACTAAAGAGTTATCAGGCAGTCCTGAGAGATAAGACTGCCCTGACAGATCACTCTATGGGTTGGTAGCACTTCACGGTAAATTTTGGCCTCTGCTAGGGATACAGTAGTCCCTATTGACACCATTAACCATGAGATTTTGTTGGTTCATTTGAAAACCCTAGAAAGGGTGGCTGGAGCTGCTCTGGAGTGGCCCTGCTCCTACTATCTCACTAAGAGAGCCCAAAGGACAGCTGTGAGCAATCGTCCTCTGTGCCAAAGGTTCTCTTGCATGGGTGTTGCAGGGATCTACACTGACACCTTTCCCGTACGTGAATATGAAGCCCCTGGAAGGACTGATTAAGAGACCATGTCTGCGCTGCATTCAGTATGACACCCCGCTCTATGACTCCATCACATCTGAGCCAGCCAGAACAGTGAAGCAAATTACCCATTTAGATAGAACTGGGGCTTGAATGAGAGTCTTCTCTCTGTGAGTCTGTCTATGTGAAGCTGACATAAAGTTGGTGGGTTGAGGGAAATGGCTGGAAACATTGGCTGCACTGCTGTCAGCACCCTTCATTGAGGAAGTGTGACTGCCATTTGCAAAACAGGCTTGCAAGTTGGGAGTGGTGCTGGATCTTGGATGCCCGGTAGCTGCTGCAGCCAAGAGAGTTGCAGAAGCTGAAGCTAGTACAGAATGCTGCATCCCACTTATACATTGGGAGCAGGAGCACTTTATAATCAGTGATCTGTGATTTGCACTGGGGATCCCATTAAGTTTCCAGATGGAATTCTACATAATTTGGTTTTAATCTACAAAACCCTAGATGATTAGGGACCTTGTTACCTGAGAGTCCACTTTTCTCCTCATGACATACAGCCACCAATGAGATCAGCAAAGGCACTTGGGTGGGCGCTCCCTTGATATAAAAGACAGGAAGCTGCTGACAGTATGTTGTCTGAGAAGGGTCAATGACTTTGGAACTCATTTTCACCCTGGTGTTCCAGAGCCTGGATTTGTGCATGCTGCCAGGGGCATCTCTTTTCCCAGGCTCTTGAGGAGGGGAGTAAGTTGTTATATTTATGGGCAGTCCTCTTGAATGTTTTTAAATTATGATATACGTGCTCAGAGCACAGGACGGGGGGGGGGGGTCTATAGATATTCTATCTCTATACATTTAAGAAAAATAAAACATTCAGTGTAAATATACTGCGGGAGTAATTCCACTGAGTTCATAGTCTCTAAGGTCAGAAGGGACCACTGTGATAATCTATGCTGACCTCTTATATAACACAGGCCCGAGGGATTCCCTGAAGTAATCCCTATTTGAACTAGAGCATCTTTTAGAAAAACATCCATTCTTGATTTTAAAATTGCCAATGATAGAAAATCCACCACAACCCTTAGTAAGTTGTTCTAATGGTTAATTATCCTCACTGTGAACAATTTGCACCGTATTTCTAGTGTAAATTTGTCTAGCTTCAACTTCAGCCACTGGATCTTGTTATATCTTTGTCTGCTAGATGGAAGAGGCCATTATAAAATATTTGTTCCCCACGTAGACACTTATAAACTGTGATCTGGTCACCCCTTAACCTTCCTTTGTTAAGCTAAATAGATTGAGCTCCTTGAGTCTGCCATTTTAAAGCATGGTTACTATTCCTGTAATCATTCTCATGGCTCTTCCCCGAACTCTCTCCAATTTATTAACATACTCCTTAAATTGTGGACACCAGAACTGAACACAGTACTCGAGGTGCAGCAACACCAATGCTAAATACAGGACTCCCTACTCCTACTCAGATTCCCCTGTTGATACATCCAAGGATCGCATTATAGCCCTCCTGGCCACAGCGTCACACTGGGAGCCCACGTAACTCCAGAATCTTTTTCAGAATCACTGGCTCCCAGGATAGAGTCCCCCATCCTGTAAGTACAGCCTATGTCATTTGTTCCTAGATGTATACAGTTGGCCACATTAAAACACATATTGTTTGCTTGCGCCCAGCTTACCCTGCAACCCAGATTGCTCTGTATCAGTGACCAGTCCTCTTCATTATTTACCATTCCCTCTCAAGGAAGTGACTCTTGATTTACACTGGGGTAAAGGAGCTCAGAGTCTGACCCCAAGAGTGTATTAAAGCCACTGCATTAGGCAAGAACATAGAAACAAGGGCGCCACTTTTGTTCCAAATGAATAATGGAATTGATGGAATGCATAACCAGAGGAATAAAAAACCAATAGTATAAATATACAAAAGTTAGTGGAGTTACTCTGGATATAGACAGGTGTAACTGAGAGCAGAACTGTCCCTATCTCTAAACACAGACATTCCAGTTAAACCAGCATGCCCAAATATAATAGTTAGCAACCCAACATATGGACATATATTTTAATATCTCACTGCTGAAATATATTGCACTTTTTAGTTTAATGTTTCTCTGTTTTAAGGATTCCTTTGATGTATGGTTGCTGTACTATGTCTCTGATCTCCATTATGCAGTGTAAACACTCCCTTGATAACATCACCTAGCTATAGCCCATAAATTCTATGGTTTCAGGAACAGAATTATAAACACCACATGACAGTTCACTCTACTCCAAGCTACTGTATTTTACCAGCAATTTGAAGAAGAAAGGACTGTCTATACCACATGCTCATGAGAGTATTTGCTTTTCTGCAATAATCTCAATAAAAATTTTCAGTTCAACAACATGTTTTTCCACTGAAAACTGACACAGCTCTTTTGATTCATGGTGTTTTGTGACATGCAGGAGGAGAGTTAAGCTGATAAGTTTTCATGGCAAAGACAAAACACAATGATTAATAATAGGAGCTACTTCATCAAATGAGCTCACTAATGGTTGGATTAAATAAGAAATATTACACCCAGCTCCATGGACTTGCCTGAGATTTTGCAGTGCAGAATCTAGATATTTTTTAAATATTGAATTTGGCATTGAGAAACGGACTGAAGTCAAAGCAAGCATCACATTTAGATCTTTAAATAGGTAAGTTGTACAAACTACTCAACTATTCTTGCTCTATTCATTGGAGCAGAAATTTAAACAAGTTTAAAATCAAATTAGGTTAGGAAGGTTTACTCTCAGCAAAAACTTCTTGTCCAAATAGCTGTTCCTTAAAAAATATAAACTAGGTGGCTCAGTGGAATGATACACTCCTGGAGACTCAAACTGAAAGCAACAGGAGTGATTATGCTCTGTTCTTGGTAGCTAGAGAAATTTTTGCCCAAATCTCAAAAGCTTGGGTTTAGCAAAGCACCTAAGCACATGCTAAATTGTAAGCATGTCCTTAAATTATGTCCCTGTTCCAGAAACAACTTAAGCACAAGCTTATCTCTAAGTATGTGCTTAAAACCCATTGATTTCAACAGGAATTAAACACATGCTTAAGTACTTTGCTGAACTGTGGCCCAAATCACCATGCAATTTTGTATAACTGGACGATTGGGTCAGCAAGCCATTAAGATTGGACCAGCGATGAGCGATGACATAGCTATGTAGTGCCGCTTGCGGTGAAGCTGAAAGGAGGCACTGAAAGGAGGCAAACATAACACAGCCCCTCACTTTCATAAGCAATAGCTTCTATAAAAAAAAGTTGAAAAGGGAAAAATAATCAGAGTAATATTACAGTGCATTGATGGATGTCTATCAGCCTTGAGAAATACTGCCTCAAAGTGACATCAGTGCCAACAGTGGAAAGCACGCGGGAAGAGACTAGAAATGGGTAGATACAACTAAGAAGAGCAGAGAACTATTTAAGATTACTGGGCATTTCTTTGGATAACACCTACTGATTCTGGGTCTCTCTGTTGTTCAAGAAAAGCTGAGAATTCCACCAGTCTGAGTTTGGTTGTACCAATGGATCGACCCTGCCAAGCGGGAACTGAGGGTGCTGGAGCTGATGCAGGCTCAAACCCTGAAATACAAAGTATCATTGTTATGTACAAGTCAATCAATTTCTCAACTTCCATTTTCTGTATTAAATTTAACGAGGAATCATAGGGCTCTTCTTAATTCAGATTTAAAAAATATACTAAATCAACATGGATTTATTATTTGTTAAAGGTAAACAACATGGAAAGATGGGGATCCAACCTACTGACCATAGTATCAATGTGGTTGGTCAAGCTAAGGATGGTGTGAAACAAAAGTGGAGCTTCCTTGATTTATTTGGCTAACGTATCACTGTATAATCTTTGCTTAAACGATATAATTAATTATTGTACACTTTACACAGCATTACAACTGACATTTCACTAGCAGCATGGTCATTCGTAGGCAGCGTGGTCTAATGGGAGTCAGGAGATCTGGGTTCTATTCCTGGCTCACCACTGACCTGCTGTGTGACCTTGGGCTTTCCTCTCCTGTTCCTCCTCCCACTCTTGCCTATTTATAGTGTAAGCTCTTCAAGGCAGGGCTCTTCTATGTGTTTGTGCAGAGCCTAGCACAGGGGGGCCTTTAAGCACTACTGCAATACAAATAATAATAAATAATTAATGTAGGGAGATGAATCGTAACTTAAAGTGAGAATAAAGGGTCAGTGACTTGACCCATTATGAGGAAGCATGTCTACCACCAGAACTGATTCACCACAATTAAAACTGTAACTGTTCTCTTGCTTCAAATTGTGGAAAGTCACAAAAGGAGAAAGCACAAAGAAGGAGTGGAGCAACTGACCTGGGGAGACAAGACACCACAGAAGGTAGGGCAGAGATAATCCCCCAAGATTTGAAAATCAAGAAGACATTTCTGAAGGGGGTTCAGAGAGATGGACAACAAGCTAGTGAAGGTGAAAGAGGACTCAGGTAACATGTTTCTACTCCCTGGAATGGGAATCTGACTGTAATTCTTCTGCACCTCAAAATTAGATAGCGGAGATTTAGGAACCCTATATAAAAAGGGGAATTGCAACAGTCAAATGTGAATATGGATTTCAGTAATGCTGAAAATTCTGGCAGTGTTCTAACAGTGGCAAGAAACAGATTCCAAAAGGAGATGTGAAAGACTAAAAGTTGAAGATGACTCATAATTTCTGGCTTCGGGAGCAACATTACGTAATTTAGGAAAAACGAGAAGAGAGTGAGATATGCAAGACCACAAAGGAAAGTTTTTACTCACAAAGACAGCTAGCGTCTTTCAAGTAATCTGTAGTAGGAAATTATAATGGAGAGAAGAATGGATAGAATCGAGAACAGCCAATAAATGAGAAATAAAGGGATGAGGAAGTTTGGTGAGGGACACAGTTTGTTGTCATTTGCATAGAAATAATGCCCATTATTGGAACTAGCAATGAAATGCACATGAGATGACAAATAGGGGGAAAGGTCACAGACATAGTTTTGGGCAATCATAGCCTCTTTTGCTCCGATGTATAAGGCTTCTACCAGACTAAGGAGTAGCTAGCAGAGGAGAGTGCTGGTGGCACTTGCTTCTAAACTGAGATGCTCTGGAAGAAGAAAAAGATCAATACCGGTAGTGACATGTTTTATACTTTGTAGGACTGAATATAAATTATTTTGGTATAATTTTAGCTCCGATTTTAAGTAAATGCAATTTACTTTGCATGAGTGAGGGAAGCAAGATTTAGCCCTTAAATTGCAATATGCAACCCATCACCCATTCTGTTCTTCACAAGTCATTTTCTTGCATCGTATGAAATACCACCAGATGATATACTTTAGTGCCACAAGAACTGCTGGCATGTGTGACAGTGCTGGGATTAGGAGTCCCGTTTTCCTACCTAAGCAGTGACTTTTCTTCATAATTAATCAATTGCTTGTCCATTGATGTCTGGAAGGGACATATGAGACTCTGGACACAGATTAGTGGGCTCTGTGGGGTTCAGAAACTAACATAACACACTCATTACTTTTCCTTATGCAATTCAGCTCTGTTTAAAGAAGCTAGAAAATGAAGTTACCTGAAATGGGAGCTGTGACTGTTGGCTGAATAGGATAGGCCTGCTGAACGAATGGCTTTACACTGGAATAAATAGTTACACAAAATCACATACTATACAATTCACAGTTCATTCAGTTCATTATATAGCACAAGGAAATACATTGTTAATCAACTTTATGCACACAGATGTCTCTTTCCTAGTAGGCATATTTAAAAAATAGTTAACAAACAGGTTATGAAGCAAGAAGGGGTTACCCCAAATGTAAAACAGAGCCTGATTCACAAGTTATGGGGCTTGATAGTGTTCACTTAGGTCAGTGGTTCTCAATCTATTTGCCATTGTGGGCTGCAGATGCAGCTCTCTGTGTGTTATGTGAACCGCATCCACATAATATATATATACCTGTAATGTAACCATAATATACCTGTATGGCCCTGAGGATGTCACATGGGCCACATGTGTGCTGACTGGGCTGCAAGTTGGTTGAGAACCACTGACTCAGGTAGTAGGGAAGAATAATTCCCTCCACTGCAGAAATTACTGGATAACAGTAACAGAGGTCAGACTAGATGATCATAACGGTTGCTTCTGGCCTTCTGTGAATCCAAACCCCACTGAATCCAACGGAAAGACTCCCACTGATTTCAACGAGCTTTGGATAAGGCCTATAATGAGAGCTGGGAGGAGGTATTCCACAGATCACACTTTCCTGTAGGGCTGGGGCTGAATACGTCAGGTTTACAAGTCTCTTCTCTACATGAAGTTGCTGTTACCAAGATGCCATGCAGCTTCAAACCCCACTGAACGGGGCCAGGCCTTTCATCTAGTTGTGGCTCACGTGAAGTGGTCATTCCCTGCCCTACAGAAAAATAAGATGTCTGAGCTATCTTCCCCTACACCTCCCCTCATCTCCTGTATATATTAAAATGAGTGAGGTAAGATTTGTGTTGGAAACACACATATACATACACACAACACTATCATATACTTGTTTTATAGTGCAATTCTATACCGGAGGGGGATGGGGGTGGAGAGAGGATTATTGTCCACAGTTAATATTCAGCTTCTGTCTTACGGAGTGTTATCACTTGTAACGTTTTAACAGGAGCCATACGAGCTATTGTGACTGAAAAGGTTCATATAATTGTCTAATCTTCTATTTTCATCTTGCTAAGTATTTGCCTGAATAATATCCTCTGGCAGCGAATTCCACTGACTAGTTATATACTGCATATAAAAGCATTCTTATTTTTCAGACTTACTCTTGTGAGGATCCCGGCTGCCCTGTTTGTATCATTCCTGGCCAAAACTAGAGGGGGTGGGGAGAAAAACAACTTTGTAATTGCCTTCTTTGTAGAATAATTTCATACGTTTATACACAAAATTACTTATTCATTTTGCAAACACAGATGTAAGTACAATTTGCGCATAAATCCATTGATTTAGCCTTTAATTCCTACTGATCGTTGTTAGGAAATAAACTTTTTATTGGCATCAGTTAACAACTTACCCCAGGTGCACCAGGAAATGTAGGACGGGGAATTCCTGGCAGGCCCAACTTGTTGTGTATAGCAGTAGCTGATACTATCTGAGCGGATGACATTGCTGCCATGTGCTGAAGTGCCTTGTCCTTTGCAGTCTGATCCTTTAACATGACAATTACATGGATTCTTAAAACATTTGGCACAGCAAATCCTGTTAAATAAGTGCAGCTACAAGCACGTAAGCCAAACTTAAAAGGCCACAGAAAACAAAAAATAGAAAACCATGCAGAAAAATATAGCATGAAGGCTAAAATACACTCGAACTTCCTCAAAGCAAAAATCTCCTCTCAGAGATGCATGGCAGAGCCGAACTCTATCAGTCTGCTCTCCTGACATGCAGGGAACTCTGGAAGAGCAAATTGTTCCCCAAGTTCTGCAAATCGGATCCACATAGGCAGATCCCTTTGCAAATGCAGTGCTTCCCTGACTTCATCTAAGCTGTCTTCAATAGAGGTCTCCCTGTATGGCTCTGATTGCAGGACGGGGACCTATGAGAGTTGAGCTTGACTATGTGGATCTGAGAGAATTTGCCCTTAATGAAAACTTTTAAGAAGAACACAGAATTACAGTCACTTGTGAACAGGGCATTATTTCTCTTCATGTTTACAGATAGACAAACATTTCAAATTCTGGTATCCTATATATATATATATATATATATATATTTAAATCATCACAGAAACAAGGAAACACATTTGATAACTTCCAATTTGAGAAATTTCCGTTAATAATTTATAGTGCTTCCAAAAGAACAACAAAAAAACGTGCTTTCAAGCACAGAGACCTGGCTTTTTTAAAAAAACTGTTTGATTATAGATTTAGGTAAGTGGATGTATTAGGACAATAAAAATAGGCACACAGTAAATTTTGTTACTCTATGGCCAGATCATGGTTCCTCATTTGTAAATATTGTATTAATAAATGCTAATGTTTAGGTCCACGACTTACAGTGAAGGAACACAAGCAATAATAGGCAAGTTCATTTTTACAAGCAAAGTAGCAAGCATGCTGGCAAGGGATGCATGCTTTTATATATGGTACATGAATGTGCATATATGTTTCCTCTAAAGCTTATATGTAGTAGTATTATAGGTGAGCAGTTTTCCTTTGAATAGCTCCTTTAGAAACAGCACAGGCTGAGAATACAGTAAAAGCTAGCCAAAAAATCTGCCAAGCACAGCTAATGTACATAATACTTGGTTTAGTTAAAATACTTACCATGCTTGTTACCTGGATACAATAACAAACAGTTTGTTAAAATGCTTGTGTATAACAGAAGATTTTTAGTAAAGTGCTTCACAGTGTAATAAGAGACAAAGGAAGAGCTGTTTGCCCAATATTACATATAAGGTATAAACAAATACATAATTTTCACCATGGGACTGATTCATCAAAAGATAATAACAGTAAAAACATTTGGGGAACTACGCTCTTCTCCACAGCAGACCTGGGGTGACGGGTACTGGCCCTTCAGCATGTTTCCATGGCCTTGGTGGGATCCAATGAAAGCTCCTCTGTTGGATGGAGCTCTGTATATTTTGGCCTCTGCTGGTTTATAAGGGACCTGACGGCAGGTGGAGCAGGGGAGTCTCAGCAGCATTCTCCCTTCCACACCCTGCAGGTTTATAGGCAGAAATCCAATCAAAGGTTAATGCTTCTTGAAGCAGCATTAACACCTGTGGACCCATACATAACTGCTCCTGCACAGCCACAGGGGAAGCAGCGGAGAGCAACAGGGTTCCCGTGAAAGCCAATCTGACAGGGAGAAAAGGACAGTGGAGTGGCTGTGTAGGGGACACAGGGACTCTGAGGCTCCTGAGGTCTCAGGAGATCTGCTGATTCAAAAGGCTGACTCCACTAACAGTCCTGCACATTGAGAAAGAATCTTCTGACTGAAAACTCTAGTAAAACTATAATATGGCCCTCAGACAACATGTGTGGTGTCCTTGATTTCTGACTTGGTGAATTTAGATTTAAGGCCTAAACCTGAAGCCTTTACTCAGGCAAAACCACCACTGAAATTTTGAAATTAGTTGGTTTGAAAGAACCAACAATTTCCTGCACAGCCTCCTCTCTAGGTATGATATATCCAGTGCCTTCACATAAACAGTGCAGCCAATTCATGGGCTTCTTTTTTAATTCCCAAATATACATTGCTCTGCTGTTACACCTCTACCCCGATATAACGCGACCCAATATAACACGAATTCGGATATAACGCGGTAAAGCAGCGCTCCGGGGGGGAGGGGGCGGGGGGGGGCTGTGCGCTCCGGCGGATCAAAGCAAGTTCGATATAACGCGGTTTCACCTATAACGTGGTAAGATTTTTTGGCTCCCGAGGACAGCGTTATATCAGGGTAGAGGTGTATGTGGAATTTACTCCTCTGTGAATCTAAACTCTACTGGGGGTTAAATATTCAAATACTCTGTTTGGGATATAAATGCCTATCTGGGCATTGCTCAAGCCCACAATGAATTATGCTCTTACAGACAACCAAAAAAAAAAAAGCTTTAAAGATTTCTATTTTCCTACAGGAGTCGCACTTCAGAGGAGCAAGTCCAGAAATAGCACCTGTGATTTGCCTTGGAGATAGCTACCCTTTACTAGTGATACGTCTGACACTTGTGAGTTGCAGGAGCTGTCATAGGAGCTGTGCAATGGAGAGAAGATTTGTTTAAGTTATCGTGGGGGACGAGAAAGGGTAATTCTAAAAAAAATCTGATTGTGAAGAGCTAAGTGTGTATATATACACACACACACACGAATAATAGAATGTACTGTTGCTATGTGCCTTTAAACACTCTGCATTTCATCCCAGAGGCGCATGCCTTTCTGTAGTAGCAATGCGTTTCAGTCTCTTTGACTGGTTTTTCAATTCTGCAAGGCTGGAAGAAGACAAGATCAGCACAGGCAATGCAAGAATAGCCCCGAGGGCAAATGTCTCACGGAATTATAAAGGTCTATATAAGTTCTTTAACTGGTTTCAATGGAGCCACACAAATAAACATCAGCTGACAGTCTGACCCTAGTTTAGGATTCTGAGTCTCTGGTCTGGTAAAGTTTTTTAGTTGGTCAAAAAGGAAGTTTTTTCAGAGTTAAAAAATTGCCTGGTTTAACTTCTCTTTCATTTCAAAATCAAATACAAGTAGACAAGAGGCTCCGATTTCCATTGGTCCCGAGCACACATAACTCTAGAGGAAGTCAGTGAGAGCTGCAGCTGATTGACACCTGTAAAACTGGGCCCAAGAAACTAGTCTTCCAAAAAACTGGAATAAATCTCCATTTTAAGGTTAATTTTTTACTTGGATCAGAAAATGAAGCACTGGCCATATTTACCTTAAGAACATAAGAATGGCCGTACTGGGTCAGACCAAAGGTCCATCTAGCCCAGTATCCTGTCTACCGACAGTGGCCAATGCCAGGTGCCCCAGAGGGAGTGAACCCAACAGGCAATGATCAAGTGATCTCTCTCCTGCCACCCATCTCCACCCTCTGACAAACAGAGGCTAGGGACACCCTTCCTTACCCATCCTGGTTAATATCCATTAACGGACTTAACCTCCATTAATTTATCCAGTTCTCTTTTAAACGCTGTTATAGTCCTAGCCTTCACAACCTCCTCAGGCAAGGAGTTCCACAAGTTGACTGTGCACTGTGTGAAGAACTTCCTTTTATTTGTTTTAAACCTGCTGCCCATTAATTTCATTTGGTGGTCCCTAGATCTTGTATTATGGGAACAAGTAAATAACTTTTCCTTATTTACTTTCTCCACACCACTCATGAATTTATATACCTCTAACATATCCCCCCTTAGTCTCCTCTTTTCCAAGCTGAAAAGTCCTAGCCTCTTTAATGTCTCCTCATATGGGACCCGTTCCAAACCCCTAATCATTTTAGTTGCCCTTCTCTGAACCTTTTCTAATGCCAGTATATCTTTTTTGAGATGAGGAGACCACATCTGTACGCAGTATTCAAGATGTGGGCGTACCATGGATTTATACAAGGGCAATAAGATACTCTCCGTCTTATTTTCTATCCCCTTTTTAATTATTCCTAACATCCTGTTTGCTTTTTTGCCTGTCGCTGCACACTGTGTGGACGTCTTCAGCGAACTATCCACAATGACTCCAAGATCTTTTTCCTGATTCGTTGTAGCTAAATTAGCCCACATCATATTGTATGTATAGTTGGGGTTATTTCTTCCAATGTGCATTACTTGACATTTATACACATTAAATTTAATTTGCCATTTTGTTGCCCAATCGCTTAGTTTTGTGAGATCTTTTTGAAGTTCTTCACAGTCTGCTTTGGTCTTAACTATCTTGAGCAGTTTAGTATCATCTGCAAACTTTGCCACCTCACTTTTTACCCTTTTCTCCAGATCATTTATGAATAAGTTGAATAGGATTGGTCCTAGGACTGACCCTTGGGGAACACCATTAGTTACCCCTCTCCATTCTGAGAATTTACCATTTATTCCTACCCTTTGTTCCCTGTCTTTTAACCAGTTCTCAATCCATGAAGGGACCTTCCCTCTTATCCCATGACAACTTAATTTACATAAGAGCCTTTGGTGAGGGACCTTGTCAAAGGCTTTCTGGAAATCTAAGTACACTATGTCCACTGGATCCCCCTTGTCCACATGTTTGTTGACCCCTTCAAAGAACTCCAATAGATTAGTAAGACACGATTTCCCTTTACAGAAACCATGTTGACTTTTGCCCAACAATTTATGTTCTTCTATGTGTCTGACAATTTTATTCTTTACTATTGTTTCAACTAATTTGCCCGGTACATTAGACTTACTGGTCTGTAATTGCCGGGATCACCTCTAGAGTCTTTTTAAATATTGGCGTTACATTAGCTATCTTCCAGTCATTGGGTACAGAAGCCGTTTTAAAGGACAGGTTACAAACCTGAGTTAATAGTTCCGCAACTTCACATTTGAGTTCTTTCAGAACTCTTGGGTGAATGCCATCTGATCCCGGTGGCTTGTTACTGTTAAGTTTATCAATTAATTCCAAAATCTCCTCTAGTGACACTTCAATCTGTGACAATTCCTCCAATTTGTCACCTACAAAAGCCGGCTCAGGTTTGGGA